AAAAAGTCTATTTAATTATTATAAAGTCTATTTAACTATTATAAAGTCTATTTAACTATTAAAAAGTCTATTTAATTATTAAAAAGTCTATTTAATTATTATAAAGTCTATTTAATTATTAAAAAGTCTATTTAATTATTATAAAGTCTATTTAATTATTAAAAAGTCTATTTAACTATTAAAAAGTCTATTTAATTATTAAAAAGTATATTTAATTATTAAAAAGTCTATTTAACTATTATAAAGTCTATTTAACTATTATAAAGTCTATTTAATTATTAAAAAGTCTATTTAATTATTATAAAGTCTATTTAATTATTAAAAAGTCTATTTAACTATTAAAAAGTCTATTTAATTATTAAAAAGTCTATTTAATTATTATAAAGTCTATTTAACTATTATAAAGTCTATTTAACTATTATAAAGTCTATTTAATTATTAAAAAGTCTATTTAATTATTATAAAGTCTATTTAATTATTAAAAAGTCTATTTAATTATTATAAAGTCTATTTAATTATTAAAAAGTCTATTTAACTATTAAAAAGTCTATTTAATTATTAAAAAGTATATTTAATTATTAAAAAGTCTATTTAATTATTATAAAGTCTATTTAACTATTATAAAGTCTATTTAACTATTAAAAGTCTATTTAATTATTAAAAAGTCTATTTAATTATTATAAAGTCTATTTAATTATTAAAAAGTCTATTTAATTATTATAAAGTCTATTTAATTATTAAAAGTCTATTTAACTATTAAAAAGTCTATTTAATTATTAAAAAGTATATTTAATTATTAAAAAGTCTATTTAACTATTAAAAAGTCTATTTAACTATTAAAAAGTCTATTTAATTATTATAAAGTCTATTTAATTATTAAAAAGTCTATTTAATTATTAAAAAGTCTATTTAATTATTAAAACGTCTATTTAATTATTAAAAAGTCTATTTAATTATTAAAAAGTCTATTTAACTATTAAAAAGTCTATTTAACTATTAAAACGTCTATTTAATTATTAAAAGTCTATTTAATTATTAAAAAGTCTATTTAAACTATTAAAAAGTCTATTTAATTATTAAAAAGTCTATTTAATTATTAAAAAGTCTATTTAATTATTAAAAGTCTATTTAATTATTAAAAAGTCTATTTAATTATTATAAAGTCTATTATAAAGTCTATTAACTATTATAAAGTCTATTTAATTATATAAAAGTCTATTTAACTATTAAAAGTCTATTTAATTATTAAAAAGTCTATTTAATTATTAAAAAGTCTATTTAACTATTAAAAAGTCTATTTAATTATTAAAAAGTCTATTTAATTATTAAAAAGTCTATTTAATTATTAAAAAGTCTATTTAATTATTAAAAAGTCTATTTAATTATTAAAAAGTCTATTTAACTATTAAAAAGTCTATTTAATTATTAAAAAGTCGATTAATTATTTAAAAGTTTATTTAACTATTAAAAAGTCTATTTAATTATTAAAAAGTCTATTAATTATTAAAACGTCTATTTAATTATTAAAAGTCTATTTAATTATTAAAAAGTCTATTTAACTATTAAAAAGTCTATTTAATTATTAAAAAGTCTATTTAATTATTAAAAAGTCTATTAATTATTAAAAGTCTATTTAATTATTAAAAAGTCTATTTTATTATAAAGTCTATTATAAAGTCTATTTAACTATTATAAAGTCTATTTAATTATATAAAAGTCTATTTAACTATTAAAAAGTCTATTTAATTATTAAAAAGTCTATTTAATTATTAAAAAGTCTATTTAACTATTAAAAAGTCTATTTAATTATTAAAAAGTCTATTTAATTATTAAAAAGTCTATTTAATTATTAAAAAGTCTATTTAATTATTAAAAAGTCTATTTAATTATTAAAAAGTCTATTTAACTATTAAAAAGTCTATTTAATTATTAAAAAGTCGATTAATTATTTAAAAGTTTATTTAACTATTAAAAAGTCTATTTAATTATTAAAAAGTCTATTTAATTATTAAAAAGTCTATTTAATTATTAAAAAGTCTATTTAATTATTAAGAAGTCTATTTAATTATTAAAACGTCTATTTAATTAATAAAAAGTCTATTTAATTATTAAAAAGTCAATTTAATTATTAAAAAGTCTATTTAATTATTAAAAAGTCTATTTAACTATTAAAAAGTCTATTTAATTATTAAAAAGTTTATTTAACTATTAAAAAGTCTATTTAATTATTAAAAAGTCTATTTAATTATTAAAAAGTCTATTTAATTATTAAAAAGTCTATTTAATTATTAAAACGTCTATTTAATTAATAAAAAGTCTATTTAGTTATTAAAAAGTCTATTTAATTATTAAAAAGTCTATTTAATTATTAAAAAGTCTATTTAATTATTAAAAAGTTTATTTAACTATTAAAAAGTCTATTTAATTATTAAAAAGTCTATTTAATTATTAAAAAGTCTATTTAATTATTAAAAAGTCTATTTAATTATTAAAACGTCTATTTAATTAATTAAAAGTCTATTTAATTATTAAAAAGTCAATTTAATTATTAAAAAGTCTATTTAATTATTAAAAAGTCTATTTAACTATTAAAAAGTCTATTTAATTATTAAAAAGTCTATTTAATTATTAAAAAGTCTATTTAATTATTATAAAGTCTATTTAACTATTATAAAGTCTATTTAACTATTAAAAAGTCTATTTAATTATTAAAACGTCTATTAATTATTAAAAGTTTATTTAACTATTAAAAGTCTATTTAATTATTAAAAAGTCTATTTAATTATTAAAAGTCTATTTAACTATTAAAAAGTCTATTTAATTATTAAAAAGTCTATTTAATTATTAAAAAGTCTATTTAATTATTATAAAGTCTATTTAACTATTATAAAGTCTATTTAACTATTAAAAAGTCTATTTAATTATTAAAACGTCTATTTAATTATTAAAAAGTTTATTTAACTATTAAAAAGTCTATTTAATTATTAAAAAGTCTATTTAATGAATAAAAAGTCTATTTAATTATTAAAAAGTCAATTTAATTATTAAAAAGTCTATTTAATTATTAAAAAGTCTATTTAATTATTAAAAAGTCTATTTAATTATTAAAAAAGTCTATTTAATTAATAAAAATTCTATTTAATTATTAAAAAGTCTATTTAATTAAGTGGAACGTGTCCAGGGTTGCGATTTCCGCATGGAAAATGCGGAAGGAGGGTTCAAATTTTCCCGCATTTTTGCTAAAGTCAACCGCAAACGGTGGAAAGACTACTTCTATGACCGCGCGCTTTTAACAACACGTTAATGCGTTCTATTGGAAAGGATACATGCAAGGCCCAGCATCACGTAGGGCTTTGAGTTACTGATTGGAATGAATATATGATTTCCGCATTTCCGCACAAGAACCACATACTTTATTCAAATGCGGAGCCGTGATTACGAGCACATGTACATGATGTATCCTTTCCAATAGAACGCATTAACGTGTTGTTAAAAGCGCGCGGTCATAGGAGTAGTCTTTCCACCGTTTGCGGTTGACTTTAGCAAAAATGCGGGAAAATTTGAACCCTCCTTCCGCATTTTCCATGCGGAAATCGCAACCCTGAACGTGTCGTCTTTAATTATTTAAAGTTGCGCATTTTGATGTGACGTCACATTTCTCAAACTCCCCACTCGTCATATCGTGTGTGTGACGTCATTTATGTACGGCCCTTACGTGACGTCATCACACATCGATGCAGCGGGTTGACGTCACGAAATATTATTTAGCGACGTCATCGTACACATCTTGAAGGATGACGTCACGTCGTACAGTATCATTTAGTGACGTCATCTAGCAGCGATGTAAACTTTACTGACGTCATCGTGTCGTTACGTGACCCGGGTCACGCGCGCCAACTCCCGTAAAGCTATGACGTCACGACGTACTGCTCGGTGACGTCACGGCGCATGGAACGTAGTCCTACGCGATGACGTCA